ACATAAAAGTTTTATGAATGAATTATGATATAGATTTAGAGATTTGAATTTATACTCGTGAGATGTTTTTTACGAACAAAATCATAAAATATTTTGAATCAAAATACATAATATGTATTTATATATTTAATTCATTCGTTGGTACATGATCTCTTACTTAAAAGAGTAAAATTTTAATTTTTTTTTTTAAGAGTTCATGACCGATCTTTATAATTGATACGAAAGCCTCTGGTTTCGTAAGAATCCACCTTTTATGAGTCAAACCATGGACCGTACTTTTGGGTGTGGGTTTCAATACAAAATATTACAAAAGATTATATCAAATATTGTACTACACGTAAATCTATAAATAATATTTTTGGAATAATAGAACCAATAATATTTAGTATTTTTTGTGCTTTAGGATACACATTTGGTGTTGTTATATAATATATAACATTGTTATCATATGAAATTTTCTATAACCAAATCATCTGAACTTAAAACTTGTTTTAGAAAGACATAGATATAGATACAAGGTTAAATAATTGTTCATCAACATGCATACTTATAATTCTTAGTTGGGTCTTGGCAATACTACAAAAGAATAATCTTCATTGGTTACTATCATTACATTCTCTTATGAATTACTCCACATTTTAGCTCTAGATTCTAGAGAAGGTTCTTGGGGCCATTAATCAATTCTATCTTCCCTGGTAGATCTGGCTTAAGGAAGATACATATGTTGGATATTGAGAATCTCCATAACTCCAAAAAACAAACAAAAAGAGCTTGAATTATTTTTCATTATCAATGAAATCACACGCATAAGAGGACAATGGACTATCATGTTTTTTCTTTTACTATGATTAAGAGTAAGAAACAAGAATGGAATCATATCTGTTTTTGTAATTTCTAAAAGACCATTAACTACTCTACAAGTTGCTATGTAGCCATTCATGCAACTCCATGATTGAGCTTTGAAGATCACTTCCATGAGCATAAATTCTCTGGCTGCATCTTTAGGTTGGGAATGCCAACAAGAAGCAAATCTTGGAGGGGTGTCAAAGTATCTATCTTGTGCTTGCATTTCACTTTTTCTGGGCATGCCTTGCCTGCCTTGCTATTATATCTTCACATGTTTCTAGCTAGGGGTAACCCATTTTTCACTACTATAGATGTAATCTCTAGGTGAAGTTATATTTCTTTTTACTAGAAATCCCAAAAGCTTGAGTGATCAACAATGTCTAGAAGATCCGATAATATAAATTATTAACACAATTAAAACATCAAGTTCGATAAATACGACAAACTAATGCACCGTTAATTAAGGAATATAAAATTAAAAAAATAAGTTAGATATGATCAAATTTGAACTTAAAATTACTCGACCTTTAACACTTTTTGGTTTGATTTTTGATCTTCCTTTTCTATTCTTTGGAGAAGGTGATCATTAATTTTAGTTTGAATGAATTTTTGGGAGTTCCTGGATTCAACTGAAAAAGCTTAGATGATTCATGCATGGCAAGATGAGGAATATATGTCTTTCAAATATAGGGCCCCATTCCATAAGCTCCTTTAGCCCCTCTGCTTGGCTTGCTTATGGCTAACCACCACCTATGTCTCCATGTCTCTTTGTTGAAACACATGTGGGGGTGTCATGCCAACTATTTCCTTTGATATGAAATAGAGTGTAAAGTAAGAACGAAAACTCAATCAAAGTTTGAGTAGGATTTGAATAATTAATTGTATGAATTCCATTAAAATTAGTTATAACCCTTTACTTTTGCAAGAAATATAATTATGATCCTATATATGTTAATTGTTACCAGTAACCAAGACTTTATGGACCCTTGATCAATCAATTTCCTTAATCCTTTTAAAGGGTTGAGTTTCATTTTTTAAGCTTGCCACCCACTAAGAAAAAGTTATCATGTTTTTAAGGAATCTTGTGTCTAAAATGGGATGTTTATCCCTTGATTTAATGAGAGCTTAAGTTCAATGCTTATAAAATTTAATAATTTAGAAGCATTCATTGAGTTGAGACTCTTGAGAGGGAGGGAGAGAAAGAGAGAGACTATTTATCTCTCCCACATGGGTTGATACATATTAAATAGCTAACCACCCATAGAAAAAGTAAACCCCCCAAAGACATCTCAAAGGACAAGACCCACCTAACAAACCTAACTAAACCATAAATAAACAAGTTAGAAAGTGAAGACAAACACCTTTGCTTCCTTTCTTTTATGCAACATATATTCCATCAAATATTTGAGATCCCTATCCCTCTTGTATTTTGGGGCATCTTTGGAATATCTAATAAAGAGAATGAAGGACATCCTCCTTCTTTCCTACAAACCTTGGTAAGAGTCTCCAAATATTGACAAATGGTAAATTTATGCTATTATTTCATAAAATAATTTATATCTAATAGGGTTTGTGGATGATGGGCTTGTGTATAATTGCTTTTACCTACTTGTTTGTTACTAAGTGGGAAAGGAGGTCGGTCTTAGCAATCTTTCTTTAGTGAAGGGCTAATTGGATAATTGTGTATCTAAGGTATTTGTTGCTGCTAATAGGAAAGAGTAAAAGCAAAGGAACAAGATATGAAAATCTTATGAGAATTTCTTTAGTTGTTGAACAACTATTTGGATATAATTTACATAGGTTATTGCTTGAGTGAGATTTCTCAATTCCAAGCCATAACATGTAGTGCTCTTAAGAAAAGTATATTTACAAATATTAAAAGAAATGAAAGCTTTAATTTAATAAATTTATTATATTCGAACATTTGATTTAATGACGAGCATAATATATTTTACTTGAGATTTTCGAATTAAGAAGAATTTAATGAATTTGTTGATACCCCAAAACCATGCTTCAACAACTTGATCAAATAAATGGAGGGTTGGGTCCTCATGTATGAAATCATTACATTCTGACCTATGAGCTTCTTCCTCTCAATTTTACTTCCAGATGAAAAGATGAAGACAATCCTTAGCTACAAAGAAATCAAGGAAAGAAATGCATGATGATAAGAAAAGGCAGTCTAAATCTCAAGCACCATTAACCTTGGAGGCAGGCTTCTCTTTCTTTCTTTTGCTTGATTCGGGGATGCCAGACAAGCCTTCTAATATTAACAATTTTCTAAACCCAAGTCCTATCCCAATAGACATCATCAAAAGATGGAAAACCTTCCATTTAATCAGCAATATTTGCCAACCGAGCACTGTTTTTGATTGTGTTTTGGCCCGCCAATCAAGCAAGCGTGTTCCATAGTAACCACCCCCATGTGCTTTCGCCCCCCGTAGAATCAGCAGACAAAGCCACGCCCATATTATACACCACGCTGTCTTCATCCCATTTGTCTAACACTTTCAGTCAGAAGTCTCAACTCCTTTATAATTTTCTTTTTTGGCTACCCGTAGGCGGATTGTTTTCTATTCATGTCTTCTTTTGTCCTAGCCCATGCTCTCTACTATTATATAACTGGCTAAACCCCAACACCTTCTCTTCCCATTTCTAGCTTGAGCTTTGATAGAGTGATAAGAGAGAGAGCTGAAAAGAACAGGAAAAGGAAAAGGAAAAATGATCAAGCTGAAGTCAAAGAGGTTTTGCAGAGGCAGCTTTAAGTTTGGTAGTGGTGGAAATGGTGGCAGCGGTAATGCAAAAGTTGCTGAAAAAGTATGTGGAAACACGAGTGAAATCAAATGGGAACTAAGGCCTGGTGGCATGCTTGTTCAAAAGAGAGAAACTGGTGCAAGTGTTGGGGAAGGGGTGATCACTGTCAGAGTCTCAACTGTTTCTCAATGGCATGATATTTCCATTGAAGCAACTTCCACTTTTGGTAACCCTTCTTTACATCTTTCATTTACTCTTCTAAATTCTTTACTCTAAATAGAACTAGATATAGTTTTCCTTTATTGGGTTAATGATGAAATTTGTGTGCCAAATTTTGTTCAGGGGAATTGAAGATGATCTTGTCATTGGTAACAAGTTTGGAGCCAAGAGAGCAAAGGCTTTTATTCAAAGGGAAAGAAAGGGAAGATGATGAATATCTACACATGGTTGGTGTTAGAGACAAAGACAAAGTGCTTTTGCTAGAAGATCCAGCTATCAAGGAAATGAAGCTTCATAGATTGGCAGGAAGCCAACAAATTGGCACTGCTTATCGCACCATAAGTGTATGACACTGATGATTAAACAATATTGTACTCACTAACCACCAAAAAACAAAAAAGTGCTAAAATATGGTGAAGTGTTTTTTTTTTTATATTTCACTCAATTAGATTAGGGACTTTGGTTATATTAAACTAATAGTTTAATATGAAAGATGATGCATGTCCACATCATTTTGCCATAGTTTAATATGTTTATGAGACAAATGTTGATTCCTTCTGTAATATTTTTCCTTACTCTTGATTTTATATTAATCGATGCGCATGCGGGGAGATAGAAAAATTTATTATAATTAAGGAAAAAGAACACTTAAAGTGGAAAAACGTTAAGGAATAGTGAGCTGGCAAATGATGGGTTGTTGAGTTTAATTAGAATGCTTCAGCCAAAAGTTCGTTCCCTCTCATACTGTCAAAATCATTTCTAGTGATTCATGTCCAAATCATTCTTAGGTTGTTCATTTGCATGCCTAAGCACATATGGTCCCATGACAAGCATTACAAATTCCTTCTGATGGAAACCAAATCTGATTTGTAGGGAAGCCACTTGCAGAAAAAGTTTGATTCTGTAATCTAGAGTGGCCAACATAATTATATGTGCAAAATTTTTTATGTATTTGCCTAAGTTAAGGGGCAAAATTCTGACAAGTTGAGATTCAGATCGAATTATTTCGAGTTATCTTGATTTCTTCTAATCATTTTTTGAGTAAATTTATATTGAATCTTTAATTTTTAGTTGTTGAACAAAGTGATTTTGATCTGACTAGTTTTTTAAGTGTTTACATTTCCCTTTTGTTCTTCAAATTCTCACTCTGATTTAATGGGTTTCGGTAAATTTTCCCAAGAACAAGCACATCAATGAACTTTATTTATAACTTTGCATGCAATACAAGTATGCACATTGAACAAACATAAACACTCACTTAGAGAAAACATGACAACGATATTATTTCAATCATACCATTACTTCAGTTTCTCAACCCTTGATCTCCTCAATCTCAACCACTTTCTTCTCTGGTTTCTTCACTTCTTGCTTGGGGACAGTCACCACAAGCACTCCATTTTCCATTGATGCCTTGACTTCATCAGTCTTTGCATTTTCTGGCAGCCTAAAACTCCTATGGAACTTGCCTCGGCAGCGTTCAACTCTGTGCCACTTATCATTTTTGTCATCCTTTTCCACATTCCTTTCTCCACTAATATTAAGCACCCTCCCATCATCAACCTCGACTTTCACTTCCTCTTTCTTGAGCCCTGGGAGATCAGATACAAACACATGGGCCTCCGGGGTTTCCTTCCAATCTGTTGGGGCGTTAAGGACAGGGCATTTGTTAACCATAGTAAGGAAGGGGTCATAAATTTCATCACCAAACAACTGGGAGATGAGAGCCATTTTTCTTTTTGGAAAGAATAGCTTCGAAAAACGGGGAGAAAATATTAGCTGATGAACTTGATTGGTGCATCTGCCTCCGTGGTTATCATTATATATATAAGGGATGAATAAGTTGTCTCCTGAACTTTCTTGGGACTTCGTTTATTTATTTATCTTATTGTAAGTGCTATAGTTTGATGTTCTGCTATCTTCTGTTAGTTAATTGAACCTGATAATTCCCTAGAATTGCCAATGGTAGTGTCTGGAACCTCTTGCTTTTTCATCATTGCCAAGTCTCGTCAACAGGTGTTTTAATATTATCTAATGCAAGTTCCAGAAGTGTGTGGATGCTGATCAATACGCACAAGTATAGTATCAAAAGGAGCTGGACTATCAACCTAAAGCAGGCCCATGCCCTGAATGTCAGCTTTCGGCCTTAAAATACTGCCCCATCTTCTATCCCATAATGGGTTTTGTTGGTCGTGTTAAACAAACAGATAAATCCATGTTGCATTGCCTAGCCCAGCTTAAATATCTGCCGACAAGGAGCTTTTTGTGGTAGGCCAGGATCAGAAAATTTTTTATTAATGCAACTATGTCAACTATATATCCATTTCATTTCCTATGAATACTTAGGACACTAATTTCAGGACCCCGATTTCATCTTTGCAATCTAGGCCAGGACTGATCATCTGGCACTGCAGGTAGCCCATCATTCTATAGAATATATAGTAGAGAGGATAGAGGCATATCAACCTTTTTGAGAAGTTCATCTCTCTTTTTAATTGAGTTGCAACCCTAATCAACAACTTCATTTGCTTTGCAGCTTAACACAACTCATTCTAGCAGCATCAAATCTTCTGCTCCATGCTTGTATATCTTACACCAATGGTAATATTTTCCATTCTAAACATAGTTTATTTGAAATAAGACGCTTATGCTACATCTCAGAAGATCAAATTCTAGTATAATTCTTTGAAACTTTTTCTCCCAAGCTAGTTGGCCGACAAAGAGTTGAATGTTGTTTTAACACCATAATTTCTATTGTCTGTCAACCCGTATGATTGCTGGAGTAGCCAATGAATTCTTCAAGGGTTATCTCATTGTTTCATTAATTAGGCTCATGACATCTTCATTATCGAGGGGTATAGAACAAAACTTTCGACATTTATAACAAAGGGTCCCAAAATATTAGGTCTCATCAGTTTCACTTGATTGTGCTTGGCTTAGAAGCTGTGTGTAGTCAATTGCCTCCCAGGGTACTCCCCAACCATTTTTACCCCCGCTTTTAAATGCAAGAGTACGACCCGACGTGCTGCATATATAAGATGTCCGCAGTCCTTTTACTATATTATTCATATCTATGCTTCCAATTATATGTTTCATTGATTCTCGTCCAGAGTTTTCAGATGTTGTCTCCTTTGCAACGGGTTACAAACTATACATTGTTTGACGTGCATTTAACGGCGATTTCCTCAACAATACGTTACAAACTCATGAAAAATGCAAGAAAATTAGGTGAGAGTAGCTTTTCAATACAGTTAAAATGTCACGATTTTCATTTAGGGGAGGGCATGCCCCAAGCTCTCGAATCTTTGACTGATTTGATCTCTCTCTCTCTCTCTCTCTCTCTCTATATATATATATATATATATATATGAAATATGAGGTAATTGGATTGTACATTCTTTTGTATTATTTTAAGTGAGCAAAAGCACTTATGAAAACGGTTGTTGTCTTTCAAGTAATCCATCAAAGTGATGATAGTCAATTAAAAATATTCTATGTATATAAATATTTTAAGAGACTCTTTATGTATTATCGAAATTAATCTTTAAGTTAAATATTTATTTTAGAAAATTAACATGTTATCAGAATAGATATGGTTTCTATTGTTACGATCTCCTTGGTGAGTCTCTCCTCCCTGCAAGAGGAGACTCTCCACCAATCCACTTATTACTAATTGATTTTCAGTTAAATATCTGGTTTCATAATATTTTTGTCAAAATATCAAAATCCTAATGAAAATGGACGAATCCATACTCGACAAACACTCCTTTGAATGTTTCAGCGTAGCTTTTCACCGTGGGAATTCCTCTACCAATAGGAAGAAGAAAGCTAACAAAGACGACTTTCGAATTGCGTTATCAATGTGATGTTGAGACAAGTGTATTAAATTTGGCCACTTGTTCCATACGACTTTTCCCTTTCCATCATCACATCGAAGATGGACAAGATATATCAAAGTTTCCCTATTCCTTGTAACGACACTCAACCTTCCTTCCAACCATCTCCGACCTTCCCTTGACCAACTATAAAGTATTTATCTTCTTTCCGTAAAGTAACTCCATTCCCATTCTCCTCGCATGAAACTTCAGATATACTTGAAGATAATAAGTTCTGATATATACTGATGCATGAAATATTAGATTCCTAGCTAAGCTTAATTCTTTTTCTTTGAAAAGCTTTTGTTTCTGGTGGCAGGCTACAAAGAGGGTGGAGTAAGGGTTGTCAATTAAGCTGCCTACGGATGAGGATGCTTTTGTTGACAGAAGATAGAGAGCACAACTGAACATACCCAGAAAAGGCCTGTGTATGAGCAGCCTTGTGCTCTCTTTTCTTCTGTCAATGGAATTTTCTGTCAGGGTTCAGTTCATTCGCGTTCATCAGCACACCAAGTTCAGTTCAACCCAAGGTAATCAAAGATTATACCCGGCCCTTGATTTTTTGTTTTAATCTGCAAACTATGATATTGCACCATTTTTTTGTCAGTCAAGCGCCTTTCCTACGTCCATAAATTGCACCATCCAAAAAGACATGGATATTATTTCAATATCCCTGGGAATTCACCCTTAAATAAGGAGGTCTTCCACCTCAACTGACCAAGTAAAACCCTCTGTTTTTCTTCCTTCTCCCACCTTACAGCTTTTGATATCTCCACTCTTGTCTTGCCGCTATGGTTCTCAAATCCCTGTTTTGCATGACTAGATTTTTCTGGTCAAGCTGTCACACATTTTTGATGATTTTCCATGACATGTAATGATAACTGACACGAGGTAAGCATTATTTTTCCTGCAGAGTCTTTAATTTTTTTCAAAATAAAAGAATAATTGGAAGCCAATGCATTAATTTAAAGATTACGAAGTCTTTTGTGATTATGACTAATCGTTGTGAAAGAGTTTGGTCAAGGATTTTTTTTTCCTGTTTTGAAAGGCATGATAGTTTTATTAGAAACTTCATAAAGGGAAAGAGTCTTAAAGTTAATACTTACTAAAAGAGGGAGAAAATACATAGCAAGAAAATGCCCCAAAAATGTGAATCATTATATAAACTAGCAAAAACAAATTGTTAGCCCGAAAAAACTGCATTACTGTAGCTCAAACCCTGTGGCAGCACTATCTCTCTTTCCCTGTTTGTCCTCCTAGGCATGTCTCTGAAACCCAAAATTTCTAAGATTTATATCATGAATGCAGCAATGCTTACTCCTGAATGAGCTGACAAGTTTGTTAGTTAAATTTAGTTCTACACATCCCCCACACTTCACTTAATGAAGTAATTCTTACTGTGTCAATACCTGAGTCGCCAAATACCAAACAACATATGCATAGGTACACAAACACAGTATAACAATTTGGAACAGCATTTTCCTACTTGTTTCCGGAATGAAAGTCTAAGGCGATAGTTTTGTTTTAAGTCTATTCTTTGTCTGGAGTACAGCTCATGCATAGGATATGATCGAATTAAATATGCTAACGTTGAATTGTTGATAACAAGGATATGTATGTTCATATTTGATAACTAAGATTTGTACTATTACATGACACAAATCATTATCATGTGTTTTGCTGCAAGACAGGTTTCATGTGTGAATGTGATCTACACCATTGGTTTTTCCTTTTTTTTATTCATTGCCATGGCCCCCCCATCAACCCCTGGCTTTGTCCCTAGCTTCAAACGCGACAAAAGTAGTTTCCTGTTTTCCATCGGGGAGAAACCGCCAAAAGAAAAAGGTGCCGATGAGGACAAACTCATTTTCTTCGAGGAGAGATTAGATAAGTCTCTCTAGACTCAATTTCTACAAGCAAATTTTTCAATGGTTCTTTCTCATGGTTACTTTGGACCATGCATTGGTTGATTTATTGCTTGCTGCTAGTTTGAATTTTGGGGGGTATTCTTTAACTCTTGAGGACCATTTTTCCTTTCTCTTTCCCATTGAAGATAACTTGTTTTCCACACAAGTAATACATATTTTATATAATTAATAAGATATTTACCTACATATTTTATATTTTTAATTTTTTTTTTCGGAGTAATACCATGTGGATAATTTTTGTTTTTATAAGGATTAGGTTATTAATTTTTATCCAGTAAAATTATCAAAATACATTCAATTCAAAATTAATTTATATATTCACATTTAAAAGTTTTAAATAAAATTAAGAATCTAATCATTTGAGAGAACAGAAGTTAATCATAAATTATTAATCGAAAAAAAAATTACAAAATATCATATGAAAAAAATTAAAATTATAAAAGATGTAAGTAAAATTTACTTGAATTAATATGTTGTATGTGAAATGAATTAGAATTAATCTTCCATTGCTAGTTCTTTGTACATGAAGTTAAAAGAATGATATTAGAGTAAGAATATCAGGAAGTAAACCAGCATAGATTTGAAACATAAGTATACAATTTCCTTCAGGGATCATGCATGTTCATGTTGGCTTTGTGCTCATACGAAGGAATTCTCCTTCTGATGAGATCAATTAGTGTACCAGAGATTAAATTGAGGGACATTAGAATGTACTCGATTCTGAGCGCAATCATAAACAACATCCAATTCGGAATCCACATCCAATCATGCACGTTCTAATGCACAGCTTAGCAGCCAGGCGATTTCTCCTGGATCTCAGGCACTGGACAGCATATTTGTGCTTGGGAAGATCAATGCCAAGGCCTGGAATTAGAGGGGGAATAATGCCAATGCCAGGGATTAGAGGGGAACGAGGAACCAAATCTCAGGCAACCCCACTGCTATGCAACCATGAGCAAGGGCAATATTGTTTGCACCTGATCCCTCCATGGCTTTTCCTTCCATTG